GGCCACAGCTCCACTCCCCTACCACTCATCAGGGGCCACAGCTCCACTCCCCTACCACTCACCAGGGGCCACGGACACCATGGTTGGCAGGGACTAGCAGGTTACAGAACGCGCAGTAGCCAGGTGCTGCTGCCGCTGCAGTTGGTGGGACCACTCAGAGAGTCAACGTGGCCATGCAGAAAAGTGTCCCAGCACTGCCAGCCCTTTCACTCCCTCAGGGACACGGCAGATGTGAGACAGGCGGCCAGCCCGTGAGCTCAGAGGTGGTGTCACTGAGCAAAGGAGTGGCAGCTGGCCGCCCAGGGAGGCAGCAAGCTCAGGGAATGGGACTGGGGATGGAAGCCCCAGGTACTCGGAACCCACTCTCCCCCAGCTCTGTCTAAGCCCTGCGTGTGCTGGCCTTGATGTGTGCAGAAGCAGAGGGCAGGCAGGAGCAGTTTCAGACGAGGAGGCTGCGTGCTGGGGAGCTGGGCCTGGTTTCCAGCTTGTATCCACCGGCCATGAGACTGAGCAGCACAGCTTAGTCGCCTCACCCACAATCGCAGCAAGAGGTGGCAGAATGCCTACTCTCCGTGTCCCAGCGTGCTGGGAGCTAAGTGTTTTCCATCCAGCCAGGCGTCATCACAGGAGGCCTGTGGTTTGGTCCAAGGGCACAAACCCTGGATGCTCAGCCCAGGTGATGAGCACACTTTGGGGCAGGAAACTTCCAGAGAGACCCTGGTTGTGGTGCCCTCCAGCAAGCCGTTTCTGCGGCCTCTCAGCTCTGTTCTCGGTTACTGGAGAGAGAGCTGTGGGAGTCCCCCCAGAGGTCTGGATTCCAGCTCGAGCAGGCCACTCTCTTGGGTGTGTGATCATGCCCCAGTTTCTGCAGCACCTCTGACGTGGGGATCAGTGTTCCCATACTCATACCTGTTGGCAAGGCTCATGGTGGGGGGCGTATTTCCCCATATGTGTCTGGAGTGGGGGGACCACAGACCATCAGGGAAGAGCAAGGACTAGCCATCCGGCGGGAAAACTGAGGCCCGAAGCAAAGAAGGCTTTACCCCTGGACACTACTGGCCCTGAGACTTGGGCCACCTGCTCCGTATGGGGCCAGGCTAAGAGGGGCCTGACCCCCACCTCCTGTCTCCAGCGATGCCTTTGACTTCAACTACGGCGTGTGTGTCCTGCGGATGCGAGAGGGTCTCAACATCTCCGAGGTGATGCAGGCACACAGTGAGTAGCACCCCCCCAACAGGTAGAAAGTTCTAGCTTTTGTTTTTCACCCCCAGTGGCGAAAGAGAAAAAAGTGTGTACATGATGGCAGGCTGCAGATGCCTCAGGGGGCCCTTTGAGGCCACCAGGTTTCCAAGTGGGGCAACAGAGGCCCGAAAGGAGCAGGGGCAGGACCAGGGTGGGGACTCCGACTGCCCTGAGCAGCAGGGATGACATGATCAGATAGAGAGCAAGTGTGAGGGGGCATGGGCGGGAAGGGCCCCAGACTGTGAAACCTGACCTTGCAGCCTGGAGGTCCACCTTTGGGGCATCGAGGGTGGGTAGGCTTAGGCGAAAAGCCACGTGTAAATATGCAGACACCACATTCCAGACGATTACAGTGTTGAACAACCCAACATTTACAAATCCAAGTGGGCGACCTGGGCTAGCTCCTGGTTCTGCTGGCATCTCCAGGGATGCCCAGGCCGAAGACATGCCCAGTGCAGAGCAGCTGGGCAGTGGGTATCTCTGCGACAGACATTCACAGAGCAGGAATGCGCTAGCTGCCCGAGGTGCTGGGGACACAGCAGGGACACAGGTCCCTTGAGGAGCCACATTCCCGGGGGGCAGGCAGACAGTTCAGGGGGAACATGAGTCAGCATGCTGAGGAAGCCAACGCAGGGCATGTGGTCAGGACAGGCCTCTCTGCAGAAGTGCTTTTGCCTGGGGGGAGAAGGCAGCCTGAGGGACACCTGGCCGTGGTCCTGGGCCCGGTGGGGGTGGGGGTGTGGTCTGGCCGGGCCTGACTGAGGACTGTAGACAGAGTGGAGGGCGTGAGGGCCACGCAAGTGAGAGGGAGCTGCTGGGAGGTCAGGTGGGAGTCGGGGCTTGTGCCCCCAGATGGTCCCTGTGAACCAAGGCTGTCCCGTTCTTTTGCAGTTAACCCCGTGTTCGACCCCGCTGAGGACAGCAAAGAAGCCAGAGCCAACGGGGCCAGGCATTCAGTCTCAGCCACAAGTCTGTAGCCTGCCCTACTCACACCCAGTACACCCGCACCCAGACCGAGGGCCCAGGTTTCCCTGACACAGTGCACCCAAGTCTCCGGGGTGGCCCTCGGGGTGCTCGGCCCATATTTAAGATGGCAGGGCTACTGACCAGCCTGGGGAGGGGCCTCACCCAGAGACGGACTGCTGTGGCATGACACCCTCACCCCTTAGTCCTCTGTCCCCCTGGAAGGAGGGACCCTGGCACTGTAGGGGCTGCTTGCCCTAAATATGGGCTGCCCCGGGGGATGGTGGGACCCCACCCTCCAGGAATCCTGTGCACCCCGGGCTTCTGAGCCCAGTCAACCTAGAGGGGACTCAGGCCATAGCATCAGAAGGGGTGACAGCCTCGGCTTCTAGCAGCTGCACCCACCCCAGTGCTGGCGAGCCCCGCCTCACAGGGTAGTGCTCCCTAAGAACGTGTGCCCCTCCCCTCCCTGCAGTGGCCCCCCAGGCCCTGGTGCGGGAGGAGCAGGCCAGCACCATCTTCCAGTCGGAGCAGGGCAGGAAGACCATCGACATCTACTGGCTCTTCGACGACGGAGGTCTGAGCCCGCTTGGCGCCAGTCCTCTCTCCCTCCAGGCCCCCCGCCCTTTCTGCCCAGCTCTCTCCACGGCCTCTTGGGTGGGACAGCAGAGCCCTTCAAAGGGAGCCTGGGGGACCCTGCCTGGGCCCCTCCTCACTGGCCTCTAGTAGTCCAGTCATAAAAATGGGACTCCAGGCAGATAACAGCATGGCAGGAGGTTGAGCCTTTAGCCTGTGGTCTTCAGGAGTGGGCTAGTTTAGGGCACCTAGGCTTATGGGAGAAAGTGGAAGGTGGGCGAGGTGCCCAGCAAGGAAGGGGGATATTCCCTTCATAAAGCAACGCATACACTCCCCTTGCCCTTAAAACAGGGCTCGCAGGCTTCTAGTGCCGGCAGCTTCGATAGCATTGTAGAGAGGAGACGTCCAACTCTGACAAACCCTGTCCTGACAGCTGATACCGACGGCACTGCCTGCACGCCGGCACTTGTGCATGCCTGGGCTAGCCCAGTGCGGGCCCCCAGGAGGGGCCACTGTCACGAACCCCCCCATGGATAAGGGACTGGGGACACAGAGCAGCGATGCTTCTTGTCCAAGACTAGCCCGCAGTGTACAGTGCTTGGCTGCCAACCACAAGATCACTGGTTGGAGCCTCGCAGCTGTTCCTTGGGAGAAAGAGGAGGGAGTTTGCTTCTGGGAAGACTGCACCCCAGGCAGCCTGACCAAACAGCACAGAGGGCACTAGTCCTTGGTCTGTGCAGAGACAGGCCAGGGAAAGCCGAGAGCTCCGTTCACTGGTTATGAGATGGCCAGCCAGGTAGACCTGCATGTAGAAGCAGGTTTATCTCCGGCCTGGCGCAGGCCACGCAGAGCTGAGCCCAGCCTGAGCACCATGCATGGACGCCCACTCAGATTGCCCACTCGTGGCTGACCTGGGGAGACCCAGGTTATGAGTCGGGGTCCGGGGCCCTGCAGATGCTCCCTCATGACTCACACGGACCCTCCCTCCAGGCCTCACCCTCCTCATCCCTTACCTCCTCGGCCGCAAGAAGAGGTGGGGCAAGTGCAGGATCCGCGTGTTTGTCGGTGGCCAGATCAACAGAATGGACCAGGAGCGGAAGGCGTAAGTGGGGAGGGCAGCCTGGGGCGATGGACCAGGAGGGGAAGGTGCACATGGGGAGGACCAGCACTGGCCAGTCTCAGCCCCAGCATGGCGGCCTGCGGGTCCCCCCAGCGGGGCCTGGGGCTGTCCCTGCCCCCCTTTCTTGTCCCAGCAGTGGAGGGATGCATTGGACAGAACAGGTTTCTCACCTGTTTGAGGATGCTGTTTGAGCTTCCCGTCCTGACATCAGGTGCAGGTGTCTTGCCACAACCAGGATGGGAGGGGTGTTGGATTTTAACTCCAGCCAGCTCCTCAAAAGAGCCCTGGTGGCATCGCGGTTATGCGTCTGGCTGCTGATTGCAAGGTCTGCAGTTTGAAACCTCCAGCCGGCCCACAGGAGAAAGAGGGGGCTCTCTGTTCCCCAAAAGAGTTCGTCTCCAACACCCACAGGGGCGGTTCTCCCCGGTCCCACGGGGTTGCTATGAATCAGCATTGATTTGATGGCAGTGCCCTTGAGTTTCGGGCTTTTAGCTCCTCAAGTAGAACCGGAACCAGAGGCTGTGGGGTCGACTCCGGCTCTCGGGGACTCCCTGCTCCAGAGGGGTCAGCAGCTGGTGTGACAAACGTAGTTAGCCAGGCCTTTCTTCCCAGGGGGCCTTGGGGTAAACTCCACCCTGCACCCCATCAGTTAGCAGCTGGGGAGCTTAGCAGCTAGCACCCCAGCATCCATGGTAGCTGTGGGCATGTTCTCGCGCCTTTGACTCTGTCTGGTGACTAATTTCAAAGCTGACGTCTGTGTTGCCTTGGCTGGTCTCCCTGCTCGGTGGCCCATGCTCATCTCCCGTTTAGTGAGCGAGTGAGTGCAGAGAGAGCGAGCCTTGGCTTGGAGACCGGCAGGGGGAGCGGAGCAACAATGGCTTATTTGCATGACCTTTTTAGTCACCTTCCGTCAAGACCCTCGTGTTCTCTATGTAAGGTACACGGTGCAACTTCCGGTGGAACGTTCGCTGCACAAGACTACAAGCTGGATATAGTAACACAGTGAGGTGTGAGGATGGTGTGAGGATGAAGGGGGTTGAGAACAAGCCCCAGTGAGGTCAAAGGCTGTGTCGTAGAATGGGCTAGGCCATGGCCACTTGGAGACAAGGGTTAGAGAAGGGAGGAAAGTCAGCTAGGTCAAGGTTTGTATCCGGGAGGAATTCCGGGGGAGAGGTGCGCAGATTAGATTGGGAAAGATAAAGTGATTTCACTAAACCACTCGATGAATTAGAAAACTAGCCACCGCCCTGCACAGAATCTGGTACCCTCAGTGACCGTTCCAACTCGGGTGGGGAGGGGGTGTGTGTGTGTCTAGGATGGGAGTCTAAGGCTCCCCCGGCCTTTGTCCTAGGCCCAGATCCATCCCCATGACCCCTGACCCATGTCTGACTGAGGGTACTCTCCAATGGAGGCCCCTCCCCTTTTCAAAGCCTCTCCCTAGGAGAGGTAGCATCTCCCCAGCGTTGCCACAGCCTTGCGCAAAACTGCTGCACAGCCTGGAAGCAGAAGCCAGCGCTGAGGGGAGCGAGGCTGCTCTGTGCTCTCCGAGGTGCCCAGACATGCTGTAGGCTGCCTGGCCCTGCACCTCGCCCCACACCGGCTCTGAATCGGCTGTGCAGTGGGCTTGCTCAAGGCTGTAGTGTCTCAAGGTAAGTGAGATCCTTTCAGGGGTCAGACAGCCCACCTGGCATCTTCTCTTGTGACCCAGGGCCAGGCTGGCCCACCTCGATGCTGCCCTCCAAGAGGCCCCACCCTTGGCATCACCGACAGCATTTCACTCCCACTGCCGGTCCAATAGCAGTGGCTTCACTAGTGGGCAGCCACTGGCCTCTGGGATTACTTGTGGGCTTCCGTCTGGGGCCCAGCCTGGCCACCCAGGCTTGTTTCCTCCTTCTCCCCAGCCCCCACTGGCCCACTCCGTCCCTGCCAGCCCACCCTGTGCTGTACCACCCCCTCCACTGTGTCTGCTGCCCACAGCCCCCCAACAAGCCAGTTCTTAACCATCAGAAGCAGCGGGGGCCGCCTCGCACATGCCCTGCCCTGGCCAAGGGCAGTGTTTTGAAGGCTCCGTGGGTAACTCCAATGTGGACATCCCGCCCACCCCCAGCTCTTGGTCTATCAAGGTCTTCCCCACCAAGCCCTGTCCAGCCAGAATGTCCTCTTCCCCTGGGAGGCCCTCCCTGATTGCAACAAACCCTGACTGGGAATGGCTTCCATTCCCATTCCCGTTGGACCTAAAGTGGGCACCGTCCAGCTCGCTCTTCTGGGCTCTGTGCATAGGTACTTCTCGGGTCCTTGGACCTCTGTAAGCTCACCCACCCCTTAGACCTTAAAGATGGCAGACTCAGAGCCCCCTGAGGCAGTTCTACTCTGTCCTCTGGCCCCACGGAGCCAGAGATGATGTCATGGCTTTGCTCTGGGTGTTGGAATCCCCGAGGAGCACCAATGGTTAATGCAGTTTGCTTCAAAGGACAAGGCTAGAGGTCAGGTCTTCCCAGAAGCACCTAGAAAGACAGGCCTAGCACCCTACTTCCACAAACTCAGCCACCAAACACCCCACTGAGCACAGTTCCACTGACATTCTTAGGCTGCCAGGGACCAGAGTGGGCTTGACACAGGGGGTGGGGGGGACGCAGGGCGGGGGCTTAGTAGTACTGATGGGCCCACCAGGTGCTTGGAAATGCCAGTTGCTGTCCAGTGGCCTCCAGCCCAGGTGTGTCGCAGCAAAATTGTGTGTAGCTCACCGGGCATTTCTCCCCAGGTGGAGTGTCCCAGTGCACCCCCAGACATGCCACCTGGGAAATACTGGGTAGTGCTTTTCTCCACAGCCTGGTGCTGGCCTCTCTGCCCCCCTCAGCATCGGTCGTTCCTCTGTCCCCAGTGCCAGAATGTAAACTCTGCAAGGGCAGAGGGTTGCTTTGGGTCCCGCGTGGTCTCGCCTCATCCTCGATCCCTGGAAGGTGCCCTGGTGCCGTAGTGGTTACCTGTTGGGCTGCTCACCACAGCCCTGAGTTCAAAACCACCAGCTGCTTCACAGGAGAAAGATGAGGCTTTCTACTCCCAGAAAGAGCTGCAGTCTCAGAAACCCACAGACTGTAGGTGCTACCCTGTCATATAGTGTTGCTCTGAGTCAGCATGGGCTCGAAGGCAGAGTGGGCCCTGCCGTGGGTGCACAAGCAGGGGCTTGAATTGTGCATGGGGGTCCTGTGTCTGTAGAAGGTGTACAGGCAGGGGGTTGAGTTGAGCTGGGGGCCTGTGTCTGTAGGGGGTGCACTGGCAGGGGGTTGAGTTGAGCATGGGGGTTCCACGTCTGTCACGGATGTGCAGGACAAATCCACGGAGTGAACGCCTGATTCCCCAGCATCCCTGTGCCCTTCCCAGGATCATCTCTCTGCTGAGCAAGTTCCGGCTGGGATTCCACGAGGTCCACGTCCTTCCTGACATCAACCAGAAGCCCCGGGCCGAGCAGTGAGTCTCCGTGTCAGGGGTTCCAGGCGGAAGGGCCCGCTGGGCACCTCACTGTCCCCTCTGCCCTCCCCTCCTTTCTCTCTCTCTCTCTGTGACCCCCGTCCCCTCCGAGCTGCTGCCCCTGACAGAGAGAAAGAGGAAGGACGGTGTGACCACTGTTTGTTCCAAGTGTGGATTTTCTGCCCCTGCCCTGCCTGCCTCGTGCCTACCAGGGCGCTGGCCTTTGCCAGAACCACGCCCGGCCTTGCAGCTGACGGTGTCTGCATGCCTTCTTGGTGTTGGCAGCGGCGGTGGGTGCGTCAGGCTGACACTGGGCACGAGAAGAGCTGCCCCCTCGGCATTCCCGGCTGTCACCCTGACAGGAGAGAAGGCCAGGTGTCGCTCCTTCAGAACAGCTGAATGGGTTGGAATCACCCACCTTTCAGCCAGTGGCTGTGTGCCTGACTTGTGTCCCCAGGGCTCTGTGGGCCCCGTTAGGGTTGTGCAAGCCCCCCTGGTGGCTGGGCCATGCTGGCCTTGGCCAGGAGAGCACCGACCAGTATTTCATCTAGGCATCACGCTTGGCACACTCCGCAGCTACTGGGCAGTCCACCCAGAAGCTCCTCCAAAGAAAACCCTGGCAATCTACTTAAAAAAAAATCCAAACCAGCCTCCGGGGCCCAGCACAGCGTCGTTCTGCTCGGCTACCCTAGGCCGCCTGTGTCCACATCACTTCCCGATGGCTGGGCTTGTTTGTTTTCGGTCTGCAAGTCCCAGCGCCTGGCCCAGAGTCTGCGTTCCTCCACGGCTCGCTTGGTTACCCCCCACTGGTGGCTTCTGCTGACTCCTGGCCTTGGCGCCCTCGGCGAGACGGTGCAGCAGAGCCTCCAGTGAGGACATCCCCTGTGTGACACCGGGGACCCTGTGCTGGATCACTCTTCTCCACAGCTGTCCCCCGGGAGCATGTTTAAGGCAGACATCCCGTCCAAGTCAGCAAACGATCGTGGGTTCAAAGGTGACTTCAGGGGATGGTGTCTGTTCAGAGTTACAGCTTTCCTCAGGACCGCCCAGCCTCAATGATTCCAGAGTCCGGGTGCCATGTGAGCTTCCTGGCTGCACTCCGACCTCTCCGGGTAGTTCCAGCTCTGTAGTAGTCTGCCCCCCACCCCCTCAGGCGTGGTCTAACTCACCTGAGAAAGGGGCCACGGCTGGCCCAGCCCCTGCCCCACCCCCCAGCCCCCACCCTCCGGCCAGGCCAGGGGAGAGGCTGTGGTCCCCTGTGTCCCATCAGCTGTGGCAGCGCACGCGGGAATGCAGAACCTTGTGGGCAGCAGCTTCCTCCTGCGCCGGCAGGTGCACAGCCTCCAACAAGCCCATACGGCACGCACGTGTCGCCAGTACCCACGGCACTGCCAGAAGGGGGTGTTTGCTTTCTGAACCGATTAACTGGCCCTTTTCCCTCTTGTGTCCTGCCCCTTTCTGCAGCCGCTTTCGGACTGTACTGACTTTCTCTAGGCTGCACTGGCCCAGGCCCACGCCCAGGCTCATGACACCAGTCATGAATCAGTGGGACTCAGGGACAGAGCCCAGAGCTCCTTTGCTTTCCTGAGACTGCCCATCTCTCGAAGGGAGCAGACCACCTCTCCTTTCACCAACTAGTGCGTGCGAACTGCCGGCCTCAAACTGCCGGCCTCGTGGTTAGCGGGCCAGCCTGCACTTCAGCCCACGTGAACACTGTAGGGCAGGGACTGCAGATGACTCATCTCTGCTCCCATAAAGATTCCAGGTCTCGGACACCCACAGGGACGGCTCTACGCTGTCCTCTGGGGTCGCCGAGCGGAATCCCCTCGAGGGCAGTGAGCTTGGATTTGTCCCCCGCTGCTGCACTAGCACCAGGACCCACTCCGACGACAGAGCCAAGCCAGTGGACGCCTAGTCCGCTCCGGCGCTCAGTGCCCTCTGTGTTGGAGTGGAGCTTTTCCACGGCTTTGCTTGGCCCCAAACTTACCAGGTCTTTCTTTCATGGCACCGCGGAGAGGGTTTGAACCACCAACCTTTGGTTAGCAGCTGGGCCCCAGGGACCCCTGGGGCACAGCAGAGGTGGGTAAACCATACCTGCGAATACCCAGGTGGGTAGAGCGAGTCCAGGCCACTCAGCTGACCGAATGCCAGGTTGGGCTGTATTCCACGAGGCAGCAGGACCAGGATGACTGAACTGCAGCTCCGCCCCTGTCCTGAGGCCCCGCCCCCTGGAGACCAGCCTACTTCCGGCAGCCTCATTCCCACCCTTACCCGCCGCTTTCTGGGTCCCCAGCACCAAGCGGTTTGAAGACATGATTGCGCCGTTCCGCCTGAACGATGGTTTCAAAGATGAGGCCACTGTCGCCGAGCTGAGACGGGACTGCCCCTGGAAGGTCTCGGACGAGGAGATCCACAAGAATAGGACCAAGGTACAGCAGAGAGGTTTGGGGTGGGGCAGGGGGCACAGGGGGTAGGTCAGGGCTGTGTGCCTTCGTGTCCTGAGCTTCCTAACACCCTCCTCCCAGACCCTCCCAGCCCGAGGCCTCCTCCCGTCAGAGATACACAGGCAGGCAGGTAGCCCAGTGGTCTGCACATCCCTGTTAGTTGAGTCCCTGAGCAGGGAATGTTCTGGGGTCTTCCCCTTGCCCCCCAGTGCCCACTGCCAGGGATTCATGGGGACAGTGGAAATATCATTTATCCTACGAGGCACCAGAGCTGGCCGACCTGCAAGGGCTTGGCTGTGCCACCTAGTGTCTACACATTGGGCTGCTACCTGCACGGTCTTTCTCCTTCCGGACAAGACGAGGATTACTCCGAGTCTCGGAACCCCACACGGGAAGTTCTACCCTGTCCTAAAGGGTCACTAGGAGTCAGAAGTGAGGTTGGTTTGGGTTTGGCCTTTCCAGAAGCTTCTGGCTTTACTCCATAGACCCCCACCCC